AACGAATTTGACTCCAGCTCTTAGCCACTGTTGAGGCGACATGCTCTCTGGAAAATTAATAAACAATTATAAAATTTAACCTAAAATTACTGTAAAAATATTATATAATTAAAATGCAAAACATAATATATATTCATAGTTTAATCTTATTTAATTGAAATGTATTAATTTAACCAGTTTTGTCCTATGTACGACTTACTGCTCTGTATCTAATCCTGGCATAATTAAAAACTCAAAATTCTGAAAAAGCTTATAATTTAACAAATCAATGAACCAATCAATTAGTGAACTAATAAATCAATGAATCAATAAATCAATGAATCATTAAATCAGTAAATCAGTCACTCAATCAATCAATCACACATTAAATCAGGCAAACGATTAGTTAGTGAATCAGTCATTCAAACATTAAATTAGCTATACAATCAGTTAGTGAATCAATCAGTCAGTCAGTTAGTTAATTGGCCTAATAGACAATCATTTAATCATTAAATCATGCACAGCGATGGACCTAAAAGACGGTAGCATGAGGTAGGGTTTTAGACGAGGAGGTGCGTGATTTAAGAGGCTGAGAAGGGAAAAAATTGCTGGTCAGACGTTAGCGCCATCTATAACATTCCGCGGTCTACTTAGGATCTGTTGCACAGCTTCGCGCATGCCCATTGTTTGCATGGCCATGTGAGCATGCGCATATCTATCTATAATACGTATTTTCAACTGTAGGGTGCACTAAAAATAGCCGGAACTTGTAGGGTGCACCACAATATGACCAGCAATTTGCTGCATGGGGAGGGATGCGCATGTGCCCATGGGTCCCATGGGTCTGCACTCCTCCTCACGCCTTATCGCGACAATGCTCCGACCTTTAGGTCCATGATGCACAGCTGTATGTTCTATGGTAGATTTGTAGTTACTCACTCTTAGCGAATTCAATCATGTCATTGGCTGTTAAATTTTTCCCAGGTTGCCTCACGATGACTGCCATTGGAAGTTCCCCGGCGGCTAAGTCAGGCTTGCCAATCACCGCGACGTCCTTCACACCTGGGTGAGTTAGCAACACAGCTTCTATTTCCGATGGCGACACCTGATGCCCTTTGTATTTTATTAATTCCTTTATTCTGCCTGCAAATTGATTATACATATTTATGATTTCCTATACTTGTATAATTGATATTTAATGATAGTCACTTGGATTCAAAAAAGATGATGAAGAAATTGGAAATGTACGATGTATGAGAAATATTAGGGGATTTTTCAGATTTTTAAACACAAATTGAAGAATTCCCCTAGGAAAATGCTAAGTTTTTATTGGAAATGAATCCTAATATCAGCGTAAATTCATACGAATTTCTGATGTGCAATTCTGTTTAGTGACGATGATGTTTTATCTTATTTGATCGATAATGTCAATGGGTTCTTCATTAACAAAACCCAACTGTTCCAAATCGTAGGAGTCATTATTTAATATCTTCCATTCTACTGGATGAAAAATATAGAAAAATTCAAGGAGACGTCCATAGGTCTTATGTTTGGTATTTTCTCATAATCAGAATTTTTGAATGAAAATTTCATTTTCAAGAATTCGTTTCCGTTGACGGACATTGAGAGTATAATTTTCATTTACAAGCGTTCGTGCCATATTTCCGCACTAGATTTAGTCACTTTGTCTGCTACGCACGCCTGTTGTGATTCTTGTCGAACAAAATATAAATCGCCTTCGCGATCCGCAAGTAATACGACCTGTTTTTGAGAGTCTCTTACGACCGCTTGATTTTTGGAAAAAAGGATTTCATTACCTTTATCGACGATTTTAGAAACGGATAACAAATTCACTCTCAAACTCGGAACGAGCAAAGTATCCTTAAGCTTGAAAGATTGCTCGACTTCACCATTTGAGGCTGACAACCGAACAGAACCTTTTCCGGTTACTTGCGTCACTGCATCGCTTGCTAGTTTGAGTCCACCATTTGTCTCTTCTGACTCAATGAACAAATTTTTATCGTTACACAGATGAGACGTGCAGCCACTGTCAAGACACCATTTGGACGGTGATGCACTGTTCGTCGACGATTGTAAACACTCTACAATAAGTGTCTGTTCGACAACATTCGCCTTTTGGGAGGCTGTCTTCCTCTTCGCGAAACAGTTCGCTGTTTTGTGACCAACCTTGTGACGATAACCACACTTATATTTGATGCGTTTGTCGTTCAAAATTTATTTGCTGCTGTTCTGTGTGTCAGCACTGGCGTGTGGTTTTCGCGATTGTCCGCCAGGAGGGCCATGCCTTGCAAACATGGCGCCGTTGTCGTCATCTTTCTCCTTCTGTTTCCTTGTATCATCTATTTCGATGATTTTTATACGCAAAGAATCGGGATCGGGTAAATCGTCCCTGGATAGCATCGCGATGCGAAAAGTCTCGAAACTAGCCGGTAGACTGTTCAAAATCATCACGGTGAGCAGATCGCCGTTGATTTCGACGTTCATGGCTTGAAGCTTATCGATGGCGTCATAGAATTGCGTCAGATGCGTTCGAACGTCCATTTCTTCTGCCATTTTCTGTTGCGTGATTTGATTCAGCAATGCTGCCTTTTTTGCAGGACCCTTCGATGCATAGACAGTTTCCAATTTTCTCCACACATCATTTGATGTCACGCATCCACGAATTTGTTTCAGCTCCAACGGTGAAATCGAGAGAACGAGCATTCCGAGCTTTGCGATCCGCTGCAATCCATTCCTTGTGTTGAGCTTCCGATCTTTGGCGTGCTTCGCCTTCACCGGTTACTACTGGCATCGGTATATCGCCCGAAACGTACGACCACGTGTCGTTTTTTATTAAAAGAGCTTCCACTTGAATTCGCCACGTGTCATAATTATCACGCGTAAGCGCTTCTATTCGCGTGGAGTTTACAGTATTCATTTTCAATTTGTTCGCGTGTCACTGGGTCGAAGAATTTTCGAGAACGTTCTTTATGTTACGTATATCACACAAAAGAAAAATCTACTTCAATACCCGTAGTGCCTGGGCCCATAACCTATTGAGCAAATGGCAGGGCAGGAATTACGAACGATAAAATGAAAAGAAATATACTTTATTAGAAACTGACCGTTGTGAGTGTTCGGATCAGACTGACCAAGAAGGCGCAGTATACATAGTGGTTATGGAGAGGGCGCACTTAACCATAAGACAAAAAATGTTAGATGGCTCCACAGTGTGAAGAAACACGGAACAATTGTCTCTTCAACACTCTCCCTCAATTTTACCGTGTTTATCACAACGAAATACACCTAGACCAAAAATACACTTTTCATGTTTCGCACGAGGAAGTGCTTTTGTCAGAACATCGGCCAACATTGACTCGGTGGACAAGTACTCCAGTACGATCGGATGATCCCGGAGAACTTGGCGTATAAAATGATGGCGCACATCTATATGCTTAGTTCTCGCGTGGAAAAGTGGATTATGCGCTAGTTTTTGAGCCCCTTGATTGTCGTTGTACAGCTTGAGTCGAGCAAAGTTTTGAAGGCCTAGCTCTTTAAGAAATCCTAAAAGATGGACACCTTGTTTTGCGGCATCGCTGATGGCCATGTACTCCGCTTCCGTTGAGGATAGAGCAGTCGTACGTTGCTTCTTGGATTCCCAAGCGACAACCGAACCTGCGAGAACAAAGGCAGATCCAGTGAAAGATCTCCGGTCGATAGTACAGTTCCCCCAATCGGCATCGACATAACCAATCAGTGTTCTTTGGCTCTTCTGGTAGACGAGACCGTGAGTTTTAGTCCCCTTGAGATAACGAAGAATCCTCTTTGCGGCCAGCCAATGAGTCTTCTGATAGTTGCAGTTGAATTGGCTTAGCACACTCACAGCATGTGAGATATCGGGCCGTGTCGCCAAAGCAATGTACATCAGGGCACCGATGAGTTCTCGAAACGGGAAGTCCGAACCCACGTTCTTATTCTCCATTTCTTCTGTAGTTAATTTAGCTCCAACCACCAGCGGTGTTTTCACAGGTTTGCAATTTTCCATGTTGAATCTCTTCAGAACCTCCTCGATATAGCGTTCCTGAGACAACGTCAGACTCTCCCTTGCTCGAGAGATCTGAATACCGAGGCAGTATTTAGCCATTCCGATGTCTCTCATCGAAAACCTCTTGGATAACTGAGATTTGATTTCCTCAGCACGTGTTGGATCATTCGATGCAATTAGAATGTCGTCAACGTACACCAGTACAATCGTTATGCTTTTCTTCCTTTGATCAACATATACACAAGGATCTGCATTTGTAGGCACCTACCCGATCTTGTCAAAAGCTTCATTTAGTTTTATGTACCAGCGACGACCAGCTTGACGAAGTCCGTATAAGGCCTTCTTGAGCTTGCATGTGTATGCTCCGTTCAAAAGACGCTGCAGCATCACCTTTGCCTTGTCCGCAACGATGCTATTTTTCTCTCGGTGAATGATTTCTCTGAGCATCTCATCCAGGAGATCCGGAGAACTCATATAAATATCAGTGTCGATGTCTCCATTGAGATAAGCGGTTGTGATGTCCAACTGAAAAACATCAAGATTAAGCTCCACAGACAATGCCATCAACAACCGAAAAGAGTCGAGTCTGGCTACAGGTGCGAAAGTGTCGTGGAAATCTATTCCAGGTCTCTGCGTGAACCCTTTGGCTACGAGTCTGGCCTTTCGACGTTCCAGACTACCATCAGCATCGTATATATTTCGAAGCACGAACCTACAACGCACAACTTCTTCGCCGTCAGGCTTATTGACCAGCTCCCAAGTATCGTTAGCAACGAGACTTTTAATTTCAGAATAGATAGCTTCTTTCCATTCGTCAGCATCCGGGCCATTCAGAGCCTTAGAGAGCGGCATCTCAGATGCATTTATTGCGAAATTTGCGTCATGCCACTCCACTTCGTCATCATCACTCGGCGATTGATGATTGCGATTTGGATTCGTATTCCAAGAAGCTTCGTTTGTGGAATCCTCGTCTCCGTCATTCGATCTGGCGCTGTCTTCGTTAATCCTGACTCTTGCAGCACGACTTCTAGTGATACTACCACCTTCAACATGTTCTTCCGTAGCGTGATCAAGTGCACCTGGTACCTGACAATATACCTTCGACGGGCGACCGCGATTTCCGGTACGTACAATACGTGGCCTACCTCGACCGCGTACCGCCGATACGGTAGAACTACTGGTAATTTGATCATTACTGGTTTCTAAATGAGCTCCCGAATTTGTTGCAGAATTATCCGCCAATCCTTCATCATCGTTTGATGCATCACACGCAATACGCTGATTGGAAAAAATCTCAATACTTTGGCCTTCCGAAAATCCCTCATTATCTGACACGAATTCCTCGAACTCTGTTTCCGGCTCGAATTCGTTTAAGAATCTTACATCACGCGACGCTACGACCCTTTTTTCACCCGGAATCCAAATGCGATAGGCTTTTCTTTCCTCCGAATAACCAACAAAGATCCCTTGCTTCGATCTCTTGTCAAATTTTCCTTTATTCGGCGTTTTGTCAAGAACGAAAGCTTTGATGCCAAAGATTTTGAAATAACCTATGAAAGGACGTTTTCCGGTCCATTTTTGATACGGTGTGCCTTCGCTCAAACTTCGCGTTACACATCTATTTTGAATGTGGCAAGCTGTGGCGATTGCTTCTGCCCAAAAAGAAGAAGGAAGTCCCGACTGCAGAAGCATGCATCGCGCGGATTCCACTAGCGTTCTGTTTTTACACCGTTGACACCGTTTTGTTGTGGTGTATGCACCGTGGTCAAGCGACGACGGATTCCGGAACTTTTGAGAACATTGTCCATAGCTTCATTACAATATTCCTTGCCATTGTCGGACTGGAGGGCTTTGATTTTGTGTCCTGTCTGTGTCTCCGCAAAGTTTTTGAACTCAACGAACCTGGAAAGTACATCACTCTTGTTTCGAATAAAGTAAACGGTACAATAACGACTATAATCGTCGATGAAAGTTACAATATATTGTGCACCGCCTTGTGATTCTATACGCATGGGTCCGCAAACGTCACTGTGAATGATTTCGAGCAATGCGCGAGAACGTTCGGTTCGCGATTGAAACGGTAAGCGTGTCAATTTCCCGGTCAAACACACCTCACACGCACGCATATTTGCAACGCCAGTAAAATTCAAACCGGACGCAATTTGTTTGTTTTTCATCAGGTTCACGTCATTTGCGTTCAAGTGTCACAAGCGTTCGTGCCATATTTCCGCACTAGATTTAGTCACTTTGTCTGCTACGCACGCCTGTTGTGATTCTTGTCGAACAAAATATAAATCGCCTTCGCGATCCGCAAGTAATACGACCTGTTTTTGAGAGTCTCTTACGACCACTTGATTTTTGGAAAAAAGGATTTCATTACCTTTATCGACGATTTTAGAAACGGATAACAAATTCACTCTCAAACTCGGAACGAGCAAAGTATCCTTAAGCTTGAAAGATTGCTCGACTTCACCATTTGAGGCTGACAACCGAACAGAACCTTTTCCGGTTACTTGCGTCACTGCATCGCTTGCTAGTTTGAGTCCACCATTTGTCTCTTCTGACTCAATGAACAAATTTTTATCGTTACACAGATGAGACGTGCAGCCACTGTCAAGACACCATTTGGACGGTGATGCACTGTTCGTCGACGATTGTAAACACTCTACAATAAGTGTCTGTTCGACAACATTCGCCTTTTGGGAGGCTGTCTTCCTCTTCGCGAAACAGTTCGCTGTTTTGTGACCAACCTTGTGACGATAACCACACTTATATTTGATGCGTTTGTCGTTCAAAATTTATTTGCTGCTGTTCTGTGTGTCAGCACTGGCGTGTGGTTTTCGCGATTGTCCGCCAGGAGGGCCATGCCTTGCAAACATGGCGCCGTTGTCGTCATCTTTCTCCTTCTGTTTCCTTGTATCATCTATTTCGATGATTTTTATACGCAAAGAATCGGGATCGGGTAAATCGTCCCTGGATAGCATCGCGATGCGAAAAGTCTCGAAACTAGCCGGTAGACTGTTCAAAATCATCACGGTGAGCAGATCGCCGTTGATTTCGACGTTCATGGCTTGAAGCTTATCGATGGCGTCATAGAATTGCGTCAGATGCGTTCGAACGTCCATTTCTTCTGCCATTTTCTGTTGCGTGATTTGATTCAGCAATGCTGCCTTTTTTGCAGGACCCTTCGATGCGTAGACAGTTTCCAATTTTCTCCACACATCATTTGATGTCACGCATCCACGAATTTGTTTCAGCTCCAACGGTGAAATTGAGAGAACGAGGTCTGATTTCGCTTTGCGATCCGCTGCAATCCATTCCTTGTGTCGAGCTTCCGATCTTTGGCGTGCTTCGCCTTCACCGGTTACTACTGGCATCGGTATATCGCCCGAAACGTACGACCACGTGTCGTTTTTTATTAAAAGAGCTTCCACTTGAATTCGCCACGTGTCATAATTATCACGCGTAAGCGCTTCTATTCGCGTGGAGTTTACAGTATTCATTTTCAATTTGTTCGCGTGTCACTGGGTCGAAGAATTTTCGAGAACGTTCTTTATGTTACGTATATCACACAAAAGAAAAATCTACTTCAATACCCGTAGTGCCTGGGCCCATAACCTATTGAGCAAATGGCAGGGCAGGAATTACGAACGATAAAATGAAAAGAAATATACTTTATTAGAAACTGACCGTTGTGAGTGTTCGGATCAGACTGACCAAGAAGGCGCAGTATACATAGTGGTTATGGAGAGGGCGCACTTAACCATAAGACAAAAAATGTTAGATGGCTCCACAGTGTGAGGAAACACGGAAGAATTGTCTGTTCAACAGAATTTTAACGTAAGATAGAAAAGGAATTTTTGAAAATATTCACCAGTGATGTAGAGCAGTCCGTTTTCGTCAAAATATCCTAGATCCCCAGAATGTAGCCACTTATCTTTGTCAATCGTGTCAGCAGTGGCCTTTGGATTTTTGAAGTATCCCACCATAACTTGGTCGCCTTTTAGGCAAACTTCTCCAATTTTCCTGGGTGGTAGAGCGGCGCCTGTGATCGTGTCCACTATTTTACCTTTGAATCCGGGCATTATTGGGCCTACAGTGTCGTCAATGCACGATCTCTCACTTAGATTTGTGATGATACTCAGTTCTGTCATTCCATAACCGTTGCGGACGTATTTTATTCCCGTTAACCTTTTGACATCGTCAGAAACCTTAGAAAAATGGGAAATTTTGAGATTTTAATTCAATTTTGAAATCATATATCGAACTTGATTCGTTTTTGAAATTGTAGATCGATTTTGATTCGTTTTTAAAACTTAAACTCTACATTAATTTCTTTAAACTAACGAAAATACTTACGTCCTTCGGCAATGGTGCAGCCCCGCAAAGAATTTCTCTGACACTCCCAAAATTATAATTCTTCAACCTAGGATGTTTCGCCATTGCTACCAAAATTGGTGGTACGATTGGCAACATAGTAACCTTATATTTTTCAATGGTAGCCAGAAAATCGTCCATATTGAATTTCCTCATAAGGCAAATGGCTGCACCCGCGTCTATACTTGTTATTATCATACCAACGGCATAGCCATGAAATAGTGGAAGGAACAACAGTGTTCGGTCCCCATTTCTAAGTTCCAACAATGATGGCGTCCTACTAAGTGTTGTTCATTTACAGTAGCGAATGATAACAGAGAAAATTTTATTTTTGAGTTTATACAATTTTTGAATTCTTATTCTCATTTATTAACATTAATATTGCACATTTTGTGTTTCATTAATATTTGTGTCCAATTTTGAATTTAAATATTGCAGTTAAATTTTTATATGGCATCAGAATTTTAAAATGACAACAGAATTTCTATTTAATTAAAAAATGGGGGACGATGCAATTGAAATTCATTTTTCGAATTGATATAATATGTATTAATGGATTTATTTTAGTTTTGGGTTTCATTTTCAATATTTTAAAATGGCGGACATTAGCAAAGAAATTCTCGTCTTTCTTAGTTGATAGAATCATAACTTAATATTATATTAATTAATTCAATTGAAATTGATTGAATTGATATAACTATAATTTATTAACATTATTGTTGCATATTTCGTGTTTTATTTATTTCCATAATTAATACTGAATTTAAACATAAAAATCAATTTTGCAATTCGTTGTTAATGTTTCAAAATTGTGAATAATTTTAGGATGGCGATCAATTTCAAATGGACGCATGATTCTAAAGTCCTTATTCGCATTCTCACTCACCTAAAGCTGTAAATGAACGTGACTAAATTTTTGTGCGACAGCATCACGCCTTTCGGAAAACCAGTAGTGCCGCTGGAACAAAAAATGGCAGCCACTCGCCTGGCATTATCGTCGATGAATTGAGGCACGAAATGTTCAAAATTGACTGCGTCTTTCTGTTTCTCCAAAATTTGCCTCACTGTTATTATGTTTTTGTTAAGTGGCTGATCCTCCAATTGGATGATCTTCAAATTCCAGTTTAGGGTAGCTGCGATTTTTGATAGCAAGGCCTCCGTTTTTTGGGAAACGAAAATTATTTTGGGTTGGTATAGTTCCAACATGCGTCTAAACTCTCCTGTTTGGAACAAAATTTTTTAATCACATTGGTGTTTATGTAATGTCGATTAAAATTTTGGAAATTTCATGAAATTTGTACAGTTTCTGTTCTTGGTTTTGTTTCTGAGTTTGGCTAATTTTGACTCAAATTTGAGTTTCCAATTCGATTACAGGATTTTATTTCGTTTTTGACTTGATTTATATTTGATTTTGAAATTGTGTCTCAATTCTGTTAAATGATGGATTTTAAGTTGAATTTGAATCGCTTTTTAATTTTTACTGGATTTTTACTCTTTTTTAGTTTTGATTTTTAACTCAATTTTAGTTCATCTTTATTCTCTCTTAATACATTTTTAGTGCGATTGTTATGGTTGAAATTTAACTCAAAGACTTACTCTCAGTGTAATCTGGATTTAACGGTGCGAACGTGGCACCAGTAAACAAAGCTCCACACAGTGCTACCACATAATTAGGGTGATTTTCACTAGTCACCGAAATTCTGTCCTCCAGTTTGACTCCATAATCCTTCAATGTATTACTCAAAATTATACTTTTTTCCAAAATATCTCTATACGTGTACACTTGGCCAGTTTGAGTGTCGATCTAAAAGATAGAGAAAAAGGGAACACGTTTTAACTAAAACTAATTTAATTAAAACTAAATGAAATACATTTTTTACTTTAAGCCTCATTTATTTATTTATTTATCTACTTATTTACTTATTTATTTACGAAATTACACAATCTAAATACACAAATAAAATATAATAATATTATTCTACAATTATCAATTTTGTTGAAATCTACTTGTTTTTTAAATTATTAGTAATTACTCAATATAAATAAATGAAATTTATTAATAAATAAAGTGACCAATATATGTTAATAATCATAAAAGATAGATAAAATTCTACGAAATTTCAGACGAAATGTCTATTGCAAAATTGTAACTACTGCAACAATTTATGTCCTACTTGAAGGATCTGGCTTGCGTTCGCCCTAAGCTTGTCTAACAAATATTGGCTGAGGGAAACGTTCGGTACGTCGTTTAAAGGTGGAGCATAAACCACGTTCTTCTCCATTCTGCTCCTTTAGTTTCTCCACTAATCACACTTCTACCTAACAAAACAATAAATAGAATATGACAACATTTATAATGAATAAATAATAAATTCCACAGCCATTGACTGGTTTTATTCATGTTCAACTTTTTTTTACAAATTCAGTTCGTAACCGAAAAATCTGAAAAAATTCTACCAATTCTACCATATGAAATACTATATCTGTAAATTTTTTCATAATTTTTCATCTACAGCTAGTAACAACGAAATTGAGCCAGCTACGTGCATGTGTTAGTTTCTTCCAGGAGAACAAAATTCAAAACGAGTAATAAGTATACATCTTATTTTTCCGATGTTTGTTCTGGCAACGGTACTGTTGGATTTTATTATAATTTTGACGTGTCAAAATAAAAAGAATTTTAATGTAGGTGGTGGTAATGTGCGTACGTTAACATTATTTTTATTTTGACGCGTCAAAATTATGTTAAAATCCAACAATATCAATGCGAGATCAAGCATCGAAAAAATAAGATGTTGACTTATTACTCGTTTTGAATTTTGTCCCCCTAGGGGAGACTAACACATGCACGTAGCTGGCTCAATTTCGTTGTTACTAGCTGTACCAGAAATGACGAAATTAAATATTTAATATACATATAGCACACTCAATTCAGTTGAGTAACAAACTATCTGAAGGTTATTTTACCCATGCCAACCATAACGCCTTCCGGCGTTGTTGCATGCGTGTTTCCGATACAGTCATGTGTGGTCACAGTTTCGCAATCTTTAACAATCAACATTGTACGTTTAAGTATATGTAGTAACTATAATGAATTATACATATTTACGTTCTCTTATCATAAATACTTGTGCTTATTCATTTAAAAACATCCTGACATTATCTGAAGGTTTGAGAATTTTTAAAGAATTCACTTGGGAGTCGAAAAAATTCAGAAATGATAGCCATATTGTCTAGAACATTTCAGATCTTTTTCATAAATTTCCATTAATTAGAAACACACGAATAAAATATAATATACCTAGTTTGATATTTAAAAATTACATCATTTCGCATTTAAGGATTTTGTCGAACTGAAATGCACCACCAAAAAATGTCGTAAAATTCTGAGAGTTCAACCATACTGTGTAGAATATCTCAGAATTTTTGGGTAACTTCGGATTAATCAAAAGCAAAGAAATGAAATATAATATACCAAGTGTAACATTTAAAAATTGTATAAATGACAGTATATGAACTTTTTTCGAACTGAAATCCTTCACTAAAAAATTTGAGAAAATTCCGAGATGTCATTCATATTGTCTCGAACATCTGAGAATTTTTTGAACGCTTCACATCGAGCTGTGTAGGTGGTAGGTAGCTGCGAAGGTGAAATAGAAATTGTAAACATTCCTCAGGTTCTCACGTATTAAAATAACAGTTAAGGGTGAATCACACGGTCGGCCAGGTATAATAAGTATTCCCTGAGGGGTGTCTAGGCACCCGGAGAATCGCCGGTATGCGTTCCGGTATAGAGCGAGGACACAATCATGGCGGCACGCGTCCCCATACCGTAGGCAACCCTCTCAACCCACCGATTCTCCGGTTCGCCGATTTCCAGGAACGCATCCCGCTGCCCCTGGCTGACGTCGACCCGCCCGTCAATGCGAACAATTAACAATTTAAAAACCTCAACATCCTTCATTTCGCTTATTATTACTGTTTAATGCATTATATTACGATGTTCTGTTTACTACTTTATCTTTCCTGCTAAGATGAATGAAAAATTGTGACAAAATTCAAAGACGTAGTACATAGTACATAATATGGTAGAACTATTACAATATTTCAGATTTGTCGATGTAACTTAAAATAAGAAAACAAATTGACAAACACTAAAAACAATCATATACTTTATATTTAATATCTCTTAAACTAACATGTGCAAAATTTTGAAAAAATTTATAGAAATTATGTTAAATAGTGTACACAAATATGAATTTTTCCAAATTTTTCGTACCATCAATATTCACGGTATAAATTATATTCCCAAGAATAACTGAGCCCTTCTAAACCGACGAGGCCTTTTAGTTCCCTCTGGAAGCTTCAGTTGAAACAGCCTCTCAGCCGCCGTGCCCCCCCCCCTTTCCCCAAAGCAAGGCTATTATCTTAAGTAAGCAGGCTAGCTGCTCGGCCGGGTTCATTCGAGATAAAGTCACATGTTATCAAAATCCCTGCAGCGAGTTACTTCACGAAGAAGACGCGATCCCGTTAATTCCTTTAAGTCTACCCCTGCCGCCCCGCTTGCTTAGCTAGCTCTGAAGAGGGACCAACACCCGAATACCAAACACCAACACAAAAACGAAACGTGTTAGCATTTTTTCTTCACGTTTTGTACGATAGAAATTGGAGGTGGTAATGTTATATATTTTTTGTGATCTTATTCTGCTTTCGGAAAATCTGGAAAAATTTCTGGACGTCAAGTAGGTTGTGAAGAACGACTCAGAATTTTTTTATTACTTGGTATTAATTAGAAGTACAGAAACCAAATCGTGTATAGCAAGTTTGATATTTAAAAATTGTATAACTTGGTAATGAGGAAGTTCTTTCGAATTGAAGTCCTAACAAAAAAATTTAGGAAGATTTTAAAAGTTCAACCATATTGTGTAGAATATCTCAGAACTTTTGCGTAACTTCGGAATGATTAGAAGTAGAGAGAGAAAATATAGTATACTAAGGTTATTGTGTAAGAATAGTATGTATAAGTGATGATATAGGAATTTTTCTCTAATTGGAATCCTTCACGAACAAATCTAGAAAAATTCCGAGAAGTCAATCGTCTTGCATAGAATATATCAGTTTTTTTCATCCGTTTACATTCACTAGAAGTGTAGAAATAAAATAGAGTATACTATGTACAGTATTCGAGATTAGTACAAGTGAATATACAGGGTATCCCAGAAAAAGTGTCAGAGCCGAAAAGGAGTGATTCTGGAGGTGATTTTGAACAACAATTTTCTTTGGTAAAATAGAAAGTGAGTCATGGTTTTTGAATTATTGATGAAAAATACTGACCAATGAGAGTACGCTTAGGGTCTGCCATGGGTAGGTTGGCTCGGATCGTGACGCTCGGCCGTGGCTCAGGGATCTCAGAATTTATCCCGCACGGCTCGCTTCCCCTTTTTTTTGCCCGTATTTCGATCCCCACTAATATTCTCCTCATGTGCGTTCGCGAAGCGAACCCATCAAGTACCAGTCCCCACCATGGTCGTGTCGTCCCCACTTTCCGGCCGAGGGATAAATTCTGAGATGATGCCGTGGCTTAGTGCGGACCTTATAGGTGTTTTGATTGGTCAGTGTTTTTCGTTAATAATTTAAAAACCATGCCTCACTTTGCATTTTGGCGAAGGAAATTGTTGTTCAGAAACACTTACAGAATCACCTCTCTTTGGTTCTAACACTTTTTCTGGGATACCCTCTATAGGAATTTTCTATAGTTCAAAGCCTTCACCAAAAAATTTGACAAAATTCTAACAATTGTATTTATTTATTTTTCAAAATTTTGGGTCCACTGGAGATAGAGATATTAAATATTTTAATAAAAAGAATCATTTCTAATCTTCCATTTGACATGAAAAGCTGAACAAATTATGATTTTTCTATCTTATCAAATGGTAGCTTCCTGAATTTTCTCAGTATTCTTCATTTACTTTTGTACGAGTTAAAATTATAATCTACATAGTTTAAGTATTAAGTATTGTAAGTTTATTTAATTTTTTTGCATTTTTAATATTGACTCAAAAGATCTGAAAATTGTATCTATTAACATCTCTGAATTTTACCAAAATTTTTGGTCGACTGGAATGAGCCAAATTAAGTCTTACAATAATAAAATCGAAGAATTAGTTTTTAATGTCTTTGCAATGTTTGTGTTGATTTTACAAATCTGAAAAAATTCGAGGCCATGTGATTCGCTGGAATTTTTTCCAGGTCGCCGTTATTTATCGTTCGAGCTCGATGAACGTCATTTAAAATTTCGATGTAAATTAATTTAAGGGCGGGACCGGAAGGTTGGAACGGGTCTCCCCGGTTAATGGTTTGGAAAATGAAGTTCTTGTAGCTTGGCCCGTGAGAGAGAATCCTCGTCCCCTTTATTTCGCTCTTATTCGTTTCACCCTTAAGCCGCTTTCACACCGGGACTTGCCTGATTCGTTTTTCTCATTTTAATACCTGCGAGGACGATTTAATCCCTTCTGCCCCGGTGTGTGAAACATCATGAAAAAAATTGTACATAGTACATAATATGGTAGAACTATTACAATATTTCAGATTTGTCGATGTAACTTAAAATAAGAAAACAAATTGACAAACACTAAAAACAATCATATACTTTATATTTAATATCTCTTAAACTAACATGTGCAAAATTTTGAAAAAATTTATAGAAATTATGTTAAATAGTGTACACAAATATGAATTTTTCCAAATTTTTCGTACCATCAATATTCACGGTATAAATTATATTCCCAAGAATAACTGAGCCCTTCTAAACCGACGAGGCCTTTTAGTTCCCTCTGGAAGCTTCAGTTGAAACAGCCTCTCAGCCGCCGTGCCCCCCCCCCTTTCCCCAAAGCAAGGCTATTATCTTAAGTAAGCAGGCTAGCTGCTCGGCCGGGTTCATTCGAGATAAAGTCACATGTTATCAAAATCCCTGCAGCGAGTTACTTCACGAAGAAGACGCGATCCCGTTAATTCCTTTAAGTCTACCCCTGCCGCCCCGCTTGCTTAGCTAGCTCTGAAGAGGGACCAACACCCGAATACCAAACACCAACACAAAAACGAAACGTGTTAGCATTTTTTCTTCACGTTTTGTACGATAGAAATTGGAGGTGGTAATGTTATATATTTTTTGTGATCTTATTCTGCTTTCGGAAAATCTGGAAAAATTTCTGGACGTCAAGTAGGTTGTGAAGAACGACTCAGAATTTTTTTATTACTTGGTATTAATTAGAAGTACAGAAACCAAATCGTGTATAGCAAGTTTGATATTTAAAAATTGTATAACTTGGTAATGAGGAAGTTCTTTCGAATTGAAGTCCTAACAAAAAAATTTAGGAAGATTTTAAAAGTTCAACCATATTGTGTAGAATATCTCAGAACTTTTGCGTAACTTCGGAATGATTAGAAGTAGAGAGAGAAAATATAGTATACTAAGGTTATTGTGTAAGAATAGTATGTATAAGTGATGATATAGGAATTTTTCTCTAATTGGAATCCTTCACGAACAAATCTAGAAAAATTCCGAGAAGTCAATCGTCTTGCATAGAATATATCAGTTTTTTTCATCCGTTTACATTCACTAGAAGTGTAGAAATAAAATAGAGTATACTATGTACAGTATTCGAGATTAGTACAAGTGAATATACAGGGTATCCCAGAAAAAGTGTCAGAGCCGAAAAGGAGTGATTCTGGAGGTGATTTTGAACAACAATTTTCTTTGGTAAAATAGAAAGTGAGTCATGGTTTTTGAATTATTGATGAAAAATACTGACCAATGAGAGTACGCTTAGGGTCTGCCATGGGTAGGTTGGCTCGGATCGTGACGCTCGGCCGTGGCTCAGGGATCTCAGAATTTATCCCGCACGGCTCGCTTCCCCTTTTTTTTGCCCGTATTTCGATCCCCACTAATATTCTCCTCATGTGCGTTCGCGAAGCGAACCCATCAAGTACCAGTCCCCACCATGGTCGTGTCGTCCCCACTTTCCGGCCGAGGGATAAATTCTGAGATGATGCCGTGGCTTAGTGCGGACCTTATAGGTGTTTTGATTGGTCAGTGTTTTTCGTTAATAATTTAAAAACCATGCCTCACTTTGCATTTTGGCGAAGGAAATTGTTGTTCAGAAACACTTACAGAATCACCTCTCTTTGGTTCTAACACTTTTTCTGGGATACCCTCTATAGGAATTTTCTATAGTTCAAAGCCTTCACCAAAAAATTTGACAAAATTCTAACAATTGTATTTATTTATTTTTCAAAATTTTGGGTCCACTGGAGATAGAGATATTAAATATTTTAATAAAAAGAATCATTTCTAATCTTCCATTTGACATGAAAAGCTGAACAAATTATGATTTTTCTATCTTATCAAATGGTAGCTTCCTGAATTTTCTCAGTATTCTTCATTTACTTTTGTACGAGTTAAAATTATAATCTACATAGTTTAAGTATTAAGTATTGTAAGTTTATTTAATTTTTTTGCATTTTTAATATTGACTCAAAAGATCTGAAAATTGTATCTATTAACATCTCTGAATTTTACCAAAATTTTTGGTCGACTGGAATGAGCCAAATTAAGTCTTACAATAATAAAATCGAAGAATTAGTTTTTAATGTCTTTGCAATGTTTGTGTTGATTTTACAAATCTGAAAAAATTCGAGGCCATGTGATTCGCTGGAATTTTTTCCAGGTCGCCGTTATTTATCGTTCGAGCTCGATGAACGTCATTTAAAATTTCGATGTAAATTAATTTAAGGGCGGGACCGGAAGGTTGGAACGGGTCTCCCCGGTTAATGGTTTGGAAAATGAAGTTCTTGTAGCTTGGCCCGTGAGAGAGAATCCTCGTCCCCTTTATTTCGCTCTTATTCGTTTCACCCTTAAGCCGCTTTCACACCGGGACTTGCCTGATTCGTTTTTCTCATTTTAATACCTGCGAGGACGATTTAATCCCTTCTGCCCCGGTGTGTGAAACATCATGAAAAAAATTAAGGACGTCACTGACTATTAGATACGACTTTCAGAATTTTTTCATATTTTCTGGACAATTTTAAAATCAGAAAAAAATTTATGAAGATTAGAAATGATTTATTTAATATAATATTTAATTTCTATAATTCCAATAGACTAAAAATTTTGAAAAAAATCAGGGATGCTACTGCATATGAGGTATAAACCACAAAAATTTTCAATTTGATCATTGTAATTTGACAGAATATGTTTAGCGTCTTGAAGAGGGGTGCATAGAATAACAACACTTTAGATATTAATTGAACATTAATATGCTTTAATATAAAAGAAAAGAAAACACATTTTACATTCACTCTGTGACATAGCCGATATGCGCCTCGTGTTCGACTGCCTTTCACAGCCACCAAACTCGCCACTAGAGGCATGGTCATCGACCTACATCGATATCTATCCAACATAATTTATTCGGATAATTCTAATAAACCAAAATTTTTCAAAAAATTTATGAACTATTTTTGCGAATTCTTTCAAGTATTTTGTTTTCTAAATATAACGATTTAAAAATATTTAACTCGCCAGCCTCGATTCCTATTGTTTAAATAATTGCTTATTTGTTTAGTTTTTTTGCTTCTGTTGTATAGAAAATTACGAAAAAATTCAGAGACAGGATAACACATCAGACTAATTTTTCAGAATTTTTTCAAATTTTTCTTTTACAAAACGAGTTAAAAAAATATTATAAACTTGTGTGTACAACTCACCTTCTTTGTATCTTTTTCTTCAAATAATTATTTAGGTATATAATTACTTGTTTAATAATTGTTCATTCCTAATCTCTTGTTATCCTCTTGCAACAATTAACACAACAAAACCGATAATTATTAATCCAAATATTATAATTATTAATTAAAAATTCATAGACAACTAATTATTTATTCAAATGATGTGAGTTAACTATCATTAATCACTGCACGTAATGAAAGCTTCCTAATCAATTGCTCGTATATTTATACTGCTGGTAATATAAATCGTGTTTGTTATACAAGTTTGAAACGTGAACTGAACGTCGCCGAGCTGAAGAAACGTAAGAGGAAAGTTTATTTAAATTCCGATTTATCTCGCGATGCAAGTCATCATGTCGTCTGACCTTGAGTATCTGAATTGATTATTCTATCAATTGGTCAATAATTAAGCTTTTATATCTATGATTTAAAGGATTTAGAAGACTTAGAAACGAGGATTAGTAGTAAAAGTTGTTATTTAATTGGGAAGTTCTTTTTCTGCTGTTCTGATAAATGAAAGATCAGAGAGATGCTAGCTGGGTAGATGCAAGTCCTTGAATTTTGTTAAATTTTTTCATTAAGACTACAGGGCTCAAAAAATTCTGAACTACTTAGAAGACTTAATCATTAAGGTACATTTCATTTCTTTTTATATCATTGTCGATGCTAAAATCTGTAAAAAATTTAGAGAATTGTTATTTGATTAGATACATCTCCCAAAATGTTTCCAAACTTTTTCATTAATGATTTTTAGAATAAAAAGAAGCATGACGGTTCTCAATATTCAATTTTGCATATTTCTTCCTATAAACTATTTAATTTCTGGACTTTCAGCGAATGAAAAATTCTGAAAAAATTCAGAGAGTCGCTCTTGCACTAGTTCATACATATGGAATTTTTCCATTCTCCAGGCTGCAGTCCAGCAATTAAAATAAACATTTAATCAATGAATAACGACACAGTTTATTTGGTTACTCGATGTTACTCAGCAAGTATCTAGCTAAGTTGATAGAACGCGTGTTTATGGCGGTTACAGATAAGCCTGTGGCTGATAGCCCCGCGTCGAACTTTCTGACCTTGCTTCCACTCTATTTAACTTATTCCCCTTTTCTCACTGTTAACTCCGACCAATGACTGGCATCTTTTCTTATCAAACAGACACAGAACTCGGTACAAGGTACTTGACCTTCGTACAGAAAATCGCTGTCGCAATCGTTGGAATACTGATTTTAATGTTCAGTTTAATTAAATGTAGGGAAATATATGTTAATTATTATTGGAATTTATAGCTACTATTCGGGTTGAGAGAAAATTTTGAAAAACATCAGGTTGGTTCTAGAAGTTTGAAAGATGGTGGATTTTTTCCGATTTTGTCATACGGTGTAATTATAGAAATAAAATGTAATGTAAAATTTTTATTTTTTGATGGATTATAATGTATATGAATTTTTTTCTCAAAAACCAAGGAACCAACTCTAATGATTCTTAAATATATTTGAAATATACTATCCCTCTATTCTCCTAATTTTTTTCGACCTCCTACTGTCAATACTTTTGATTCTATACTTATTTATACAGAAATACAATTATAATAGCAAATTTCAACCTTTCTGAATTTTTTCTCCAAAACCACTTGAGCGATTTCAATAAATCTTTTATATATCTTAGACACAACCCTCCTCTAAGTTCCCTAAAAATTTAAAGTCATTACTATTTAGACCCTTCAAGTTATAACCGAATCCATGGAATCTCCGCTGAGGGAGAATAAAATTTTGCGGTGCGCCGCCTGTCCCAGTTAGTACGCGAAAGCAAATACCGTTTATGAGGAAGTTTTACGGTGGTCCTCCGAGCGGCCACCGTGACGAGGGGGGAGGGGGCGGACGTTTGAATGCCTAGGGGTGCCCGGAGGGCCCGCTTTGTCGCGAACCTCCGAAACCGTTGGCATACTTCGCTCTCAGGACCGTCGGGTATTCCGAATACCCGAGGCAACCGGCAATTCCTGCGCCCGCCGCCGCATACTCGAACCGCGGCTACAGTCAGGCCAATTTGCGAACGCTCTACCTCAAGGACGAATAACTTCGATGTAACTGACTCCAGGCGACAGCGAAAAGAGTCCCGATCTATTTTCTTGTCTTCTTTTAAGGCGATGGGGATAAACAAAAATAAGGGAGTTACAGGGTTGTTAGCGGGATACTCTAGAATATTTTTGGAATTTTTATTGATCTTTTACGGGATAAAAAATATAATGTAGTTTAAGGATTACGCCTTTAACCCTTCCACTGCAACAGATGTATATACAGGATATCCCCGAAAAAGTGTTACAGCCGAAAATGGCAGATTGGGAGGGTCATAGTGAACAACAATTTCCTTTGGCAAAATGCAGAATGAGGCTTAGTTACCGAGTTATTAACGAAAAACACGGACTAATCAGAGCGCTCGGTTGACGCGAGCTCTGACTCGGGAGCGTTGGCTCGAATCCGGTCGCCCGTCCTTTGATGCGTTTGAACAAGCGCTCCGCTCAGTACGAAACGTTTTAAGAAAATAAAGAATAACAAACTACATGAATAACAATGCAAGTGTAGCGACTTTTATTGTTCGTTCGTTATTATGAATAACAATTAATACACTTAATCGTTATTCACATGGAATGGATGGGGAAATGATAGATTGTTGATAATTGATGGATGATAATAGGATAAATGAGGAACTAACAAGTCGCAGGGAATATTGAATTTAAAAGAAAATGCAAAAGCTGTAGAGATTAGACTTACCCATCTATCCGCAAATGCACCTGCTCACACTTGGGTCAGCGTCTTTGCCGCTCACAGGTAGGCTACAGGTGATCTTCTGTCCAGGGAAGGAACCCCGCAATGACAATCCACCGCACGATCACTGTCACTCTACACTTAAAAATTTTAACACACCAAGATTATTGGTCCTACGTTCTATGAATACACGTCTTTGTAAGGAGCCGATTGATTTTTATACACAAACTCAACTTCATTACACCACTGTCACTCTTCACTTAAAAAGTTTCGAACACTTACACTGTTGTTCCTGCACTCTAACATTAAACATCTCGGTCTTAAACCGACGCTCTTTGTATCGGAATCGGCAGATAACCATCTTTGTATTAGGCGAATACTCGGATCATTTCGTAATACTCTGTTGGATTTTTCGGGCTCCATCATTGAGTTAAAGTGCAGGACTCGATACCTTCTGATCCGTCTCTCACAATTTTCCTTCAGGAGAATTTTCCCCACTCGATGGTCAAATTCCTTAGTGAAAATGTTTTTAGCATCCCTGAAAGAAACTCGATCTTCGAGTATCTTCGAGTGCCGAAGGTCGACCCATTGACCCATTGACGTTCTTCTACGAGCAGGTGCACTGACCAACGAAGAAGTAAGTTCAACTCTGATTTTTTTCGCATTTTTCATAATTTTACGTACTCTGTAATTTGTAAATTTCTTATGTATGTATGTTACATTCGTTCGGTGAACGTAATTAACGACTAATCTCTTTCTTTCCTTTCACATTTAATCAATCTGTTAGTTCATTTTTGCATGTAACATTTCTTTCATCCTATGCTCCCGTCACGAGTGCGACGTACGGACGCGATAACGCACGAGGCGGTCACCTCGCTCCTGCCCGCCTTGTATACTCGCGCTCTGATTCGTCGAGAGTTTTTGTTAATAACTCGACAACCACGCCTCGGACAACTATTTTGCAAAGGAAAAAGTTGTTTAAAATCGCCATGGCTCCTCCCCATTTGAAGGCCTAACACTAGTTCTGGGACACCCTGTATACGCCTCGTAAACCTATCAATGTATACCATAGATGTAAAAATATGAACTCTGCACTTTTCTTACCATAATACTTTTATTGGCTTATTGATTGATTCTTTATCTATCTCACCGAGGAGAGATTATTAAAGAGTGGCAGCTCACGAGAGAAGAAAGTACATCATTTTTGACGCCCTCTAAAATATGCTGTACCGAGGAAGAATCAAAATTATGAGTAGCCGAAGACGCTTTAAAATAAAAAAGGAAGAGAAGGTGACTTCTTCCAGGAAGCTGTCAACGATGTTCCAAAAACAGGAAGGAGATGAGAATAACTCACTAAATGGGGGAGACACATTAAATGTAAAGAAAATAGATGAAAATGCTAGTGCACTAGCAGTAATAATAGAGAAGTTAGACAGTTTTTCAATGAATATGAGTAGTATAAGGTTTGCCGTAAATGAACTACAAGGCTTTAAAACCAAAGTAGAGGAAAAGGTAGTTAAATGGCAAGAGGAGAAAGAAGAAATAC